TGGCAAGGAAGTTATCTGGAAGAGGCAGAGCGAGTTCATGTGAATCCGCTGCAGTGTTAAGATCGGTGAATGATGCCATTGGCCTTCTTCACCTTTACGATCGGTGCGGCTGTTGCAGCACAGTTGGCTGTTTAGAAAACACCAGCTTTCGCAATCAGTCCTGTTCCCGGTAATTGATGGACGTGACTGCATGCCAAACTGGGCATTTCGGGTTGAGAATCTGTCTGGCATTGAAAAGAAAGCACGGCAAGGATCTCGTCTTTGTACACCTTCTAAGCCCTTTGTAAATAAGGGTTCATAGCGATGCGGGAAGTCCTCGGACGAATGCTTCAAGAGGCAAGTCTCATCATCCCTGGTGATTCGCACGTGCGGTTGCGATTAGGGCTATTAGACTTTTTCAAGCTAGTCAGCTTGGTGGTTCAAACCAATCTAATGAGATCAAGTTTGGCGCAATACGTTAGGTAGCATGTGGCTCTAGCCTTCGAGCCGTTCCAAGTTATGGAACAACCAAACCTGACAGCTGATTCCGGCTTACAGCACAGGCGTTGTGGCTCGTTGATTAGTAGGTCTTGCATAAGATTTACCATTTTTTCACGCCCGTTTACTATGCAATGTAGTGTATAAATCTGAAAACAGACGCCGATGTGGTTGAAAGGGTCGCAGAATTCCTTCGGTAGATAAGATTTCTTTTGAACCAAGTTATCAAGTTGGACCGCTGCTTTATGTGCTGCATGGTAGTATGTCGGCAGGCGTGTCATCTAGGATTCACACAAACCTTTCTAGTCAGAACAATCACGTCCAGAATATTTGTGACGCCTCAACCGGAAACAAGGAGCAAAATGCCACTCACACAATGCCAGTAACTCGCAAGAGGTTTGCCCTGCTTTCGACCGGGAGTATCGTCGGGCTTTCCTAGGAGCTGAGTTGTGACTGATGGTAACTGATTTACTGAGCATATCTCATGGCATCCATAAGTTTATGTGGTGCTGGTATTCGGGGGTGAGTCTCTGCTACGTCATATCAGCATCCTGCTCGTTTGTGTGAGGCTGGGACAACTAACGGCCGCACACGGAAATGAGTCACTTTAACTGGTTTTCAACAGTAATCTTAGCTTTGACTGATGACAGTGGTTAACGCGTTGAAATCGCTGCCATCCTTCTTGATGGCGAAAACTGTACTGTGATGTACGATCACCGAATATCTGCAAACATTCCATAAACGCTTAATTCGACCGACAGCCTCAGAAGGGCGAAGTTGTCGATCATGTCATGTCCGCTGTGTGCCACGTTCTTGCAGCAATAATCTCAACTTGCGTCCCTCATCGAATTTTGAAAAATCCGTTTCAAACATGCCCTTGTACCGCCTGAAACACTAGTCACATGTGTGACCAGACAGGGGGTGGAATATGAACTCCGGAATCGGGGCCACGTTGCAGCATCTGCAGAAACAGGAGGTTTACCGGAGAAAGGGTCGCCTCTTCTGAGGAGCTATTTATTATAAAACACCAACTGGACATTTGCAGATTACTGAACAGGAAACCGAAACTCTCATACGCATCTTGTTTATAAAACTGGATATCTATCTAGTTCTTGAACGCGTCTTTTTGAACTTTCCTGGGTATTAATTGACTAGCACTCAAACGAATGCTTCAAGGCAATTCCACAAATTCCGTAATGAACCTCACTTTCCTGTGGACGTAATGCGGAGTTAGGAGAAAACATATTACTCGCATGCCTCATGAGTAGTATCCATTGTTACAATGGTACTGGCTGTTGGTGTACAGTCTCTGAGTCAGTAATTCAAGGAGCCTACGCGGTGCTCCTTCTAACCTGTTTTGTTGGTGTTGCAATAAATATCAAAGCTGATTAGGTTCGATAGATATCATGGACTCCCGTGTGATAATTGTAACAGCGCTAGCGACCCAGCGCAGTTATTGTTTTGATCATTCGAAGCTAGCGTTTTCAGAGAGGACTCACTAACATTCAACTCATCCTGCGTCATGATTAGGTACACCAACCAGGCCAACCAGAGCCTTGGTACTTGACCGGCAGGCGTCCAGTATTCCGGCCAATCACGTGCGGGTTGGGTTTTTCGGTCGTGGCTGGGCCCCATTGTGAACGGTAAAGCTGACAGAAACGAAACTGTATGTGGCTTTCTGCAGACTTGCTTATTTCTGAAACAGGCACGATCCTAGTCTTCGGGGAAAAAATATGGATTGGCATGTAGAAATCCGGTGACCCTCGCCCGTCGTGTGTGGTCCTACTTTTGCCAAGGCCACAGTTGATCCGCCTCATTATTAATAATAATGCTGATAATATTAATATTAATAATAATAATAATGATAATAATAATAACAGTTCAGCTGTGACAGCGTTTAAGTGCGTAGACGCCATGCCACCTGAAGGATGCATGGGGGCTGTTTTGATGTCAGTTTTCCCAAGCCTAGACGAACACTCGAGATGCCGAAGTCGGGTTCGAGACACAGACCTTGCGGCCGATAAGCCTTCTTGAGCTCATCCATCCACTCACTGACCGTACCATTCGTTGATCCCCAAAGGTTACCGACACTGTATTCTGCGTATATTGGGCCTCTTTCAGAACACAGGTTAAATGGAAATCATCTATCTTAAAGAATGTTCAGCGGATAACAGCTAGAATCATTTGATTACTCCTTTACCCATTCTACCGGGGAGGTTATTTCAGTTCATTCTTCCTCTCCCAAATTACTGGCTTCCCTGCCTCATAATGCTCACTTTCTCACAGGAATGCTCCTTTACCAGTTTTTTTTAAACCGCAACCTTGCTGTTGTTGGCCCTAAGAGGGTGCACGACCCGGGGCCTTTCTTCTCGTTCATGATTCTCTTATTGAACAGGCTTCTAAAACCCAAACTCTGCCTAAAATTTCATACGACATTAGCTTCTTAAGGAAGAAGCACCTCATCCCAGTTCAGGCCTGTCCTGCTTACTTGCTTTCTTTAAGTTGAACGTAAGAGGCGAGATGGCTCAAGTGGTTAGACTGCGAATTTACTGACCAAAAGGTCTGTGGTTCGAACCTGACCTCTGTCTCTCGACTTCCCCTGTCTAGGTTTAGGCAACCCGGCACTATCCCAGCCCTCGTCCTTCCTTTGGGTTGCATGGCAGCCAGGCACTGAAAGGGTGTTACAGCTGAATGATTATTATCCATCTGTTCCATCCATCGGTTGTTGTTTTGTTCTTAATCCAAATCCACGGTGATATGGTCGTATCTACTTGAAAGGTTTGTAACACATTGCGTATAGTTTTAAACTTATAATTTTGACACACGTGGGTCCGAAGTGGCGTTTTCTCACAGACATCGAATGCACATGCAGCATAGCTCCTTTGGAATATAATCCCATAAATGTGTAACAAAATTAGATAACCTTACTGATTCCGTCTCACGGTTTTTAAGTGCTCTACACTTGCAGTACAAAGTGCGGCTTTGATGCACGAGCGTCACTTCGAGATTAAGCCATGTCTACCAGTGTCACTAATCGTGGATTGATTGGATCTTGGTGTCCCTATTCCGGAGGCGGTGAATGTTGTCCCGAATGGGTTTACTCGTTAGGGCCTATATACTTCACTACCAGGTTACAAGGTTTCCACCCCAGATTGCTTCCAGTGGATACGGGTATAGGCCAAAGAACTCTGCGAGGTAGACGTTTTTGTCCTGCAAAGTAAATGCTCTTACCAGCATAATCCGTGAAGCTCAAATAACTCATTCGCTTTTGTAGAATTCCTCAGCTGGGGACGTTCAACGTTCAGCTGTAGCACCCTTCCGATGCCTTGCTGCCATGCCACCCGAAGGAAGCACGAGGGCTTAGATACTGCCAGGTTGCCCAAGCCTAGACAGGGGAACTCGAGTGGCGGAGGTCGGATTTGAACCACGGACCTTCCGGTCAGTAAATTCGCGCTCTAACCACTTGGGCCATCTCGCTTGGGGGCATGGCAGCATTACCAGTCCGATGTTCCCACCATATCTCTAAATGGTTTGGAGACCATGAATTTTTTTTGCAATCTCTGCGGTAACAAACCACGTCACTTATCCCTGATGATCAGAGAAAGCGACATCACTATTGACACTGACGCTTCGCTGTCGAGAAGTCACAGAGTTTTTCTAATTATATTTAAAGCCTTGGGGTGAAAAGATGAGAAAAAGAGTGATTAATGGACGAAACCTGCTGCTAGACTATCACAAGCATTCTGAGGTGCCTACACCGACAAGCTCTCAATCAGGCAATCTATAATAGAACTGACATAACGGACGCCAGTGACATTCACCAGACGCCATTTCATGCACCGATTACAGTCAAGCACAGGAATGGTCACGGGGACCTCACCTTCAAAGGTGCACCGCGCTAACAACACCCAAACTCGTCGTAATATCTTTCACATCTTCCCATGTCATACGATGTCCATCACGCCATTCTGAAGGAGCTACAACATTCGCGTCAGTAGATGGTGTGTTGGCATGCGTAGCACATCGCCGAGCCAATGTAGTTTGTATACAAGGTGTCTTCTGCAACATAGGTTTCCCTTACGCGACCAACTACCCGTTTTCTAATTGCATCGTTACGAATTCTTTGAAGATATCCGACGTCAGCAACGCTTCTAACGCATCAGTGGTAAAAAACAAGACAGTTCACATCGTATGTCCTCAGAGTTCATGTCTCACCATAATATAACAGCACAACCCTTACTGTAGCCTCTTACACGCAACCCTTGCGACGCAGTAATATACCTTTCTGACTCAACAAGTGGCGCAAATTAGCAATCGTGATTTGGGTCTTTGAGATTCTAACACTGATTTCATTAAACACTTCAGCCAGAGATAATTCAACTCCCGAAGTATGTAAAATTCTCCAGTGCTTCTTGAATTTTACGGGGGTATTTTCGAATACTGCATATTGTGAAGCATGACTTCGTACATTGAAGGTGAAAGACGCATTCTGATAATACGATCATAGTCGCTTTGTTTAACAGGACTTGTTCTTCACCCTCGTTTTCGTACTACGGATCATCAAGGTTCTCGCCAGCAGCGATTTGAACACCGGGGTCTTGGAGACCTTCCAGCGTTTGCCTCATTATTTCATCGACAACGACTTTGACCAAGAACGGAGAGAGTGGACATCCCTGTGGTACATCACGTTTTGTAAAAGAGCTTTTGGAGAAACTATCATACACTTGCATAGTCGGAGCCGTGTGAATAAAGGGACCGGATTATGTTCACGAACATTTGGGATGCGTCCTGCTAAGCAAGTGTGCATAACAGCACTTATCGATTGATAGAAACAAACACACCCTTGAAGTCAAGACACCAAGTTTATGGGTTTTCAATACACATGACGTTACTCTAACACCTGACAGCGTGTGAAGATACGATGGACGCAGGTTGAAGTCCCGCTTGATGTACACGTGCTTCACGTGCCGCCGTAAGATCGTGAAGGATCAGTGACGCCAGAGGTCCTGTTACAACGGAAGCCAAACTACCACCCATGTGGTTGCTACATTCATTGGGAGTACCCTCTTTTAAAGAGAGAGCGGGTACTCCCCCCGAATGTAGAGATGGCTCAAGTGGTTGGAACCCGACCTCTGTCTCTCAACTTCCCCTGTCTAGGCTTGGGCAACCTGGCATTATTCCAGTCCTCGTGCTTCCTGCATGGCAGCTAGACACCGGAAGGGTGTTACAGCTGAACGACCCTCTTTTAAAATTACTGACTCATCCGAGTTGTCTGGGTGGAACCCCTTCAGAGAGGCGCTATCAGGTTAAACAGGAATGGCCGAGGAATTCGCCGCCATCCTGTAACAGAGTAGGTGGAAGGCCATCAGGACCAGGAGCACTGTGACGCTGGAATAGAACTATACATTCGAACGCTTGTGAGGCTGAATGGGGCTCCATTTTCACGGTTCACTTCTGTTGGAGGCCGGCAAACCGGATTAGAAGCAGGTGGCCAACTGGATTGTTGTTCGAAGCACTGCGTTCAATTGTCCAAACGTTTTCGTTTGCTGGGTATCAAAGAGCCATTTTGGTCCCTGATAATTTTTCTGGCGCGATGCTTATAAGAACTGGTCGAAGGAATCAAGTAGAACAGCCCGTGGACACTTCCAGCATTTTTCTCACCTTCCATTCCTTCGGCCTTCCTGGTCCACCGAGTTTCTCTTTCTCCGCTGACGCTCAGTTTCATCTACCGTCTGTTGATACGTCGGGTTGAGTTGTGGTTGCGGCCGGGAGGAATCAGCCGTCAAGCTCCCAGTAAAGCCACGGTCCTACGACACACAAATCTCACATTTGAATGAGGTTGGCTGGGTTGTGCCACAGACAAATATTCCGGTGTTGAGTAGCGCTGTGAATATCTGTTCCCAGTGGCCGTTACTGTCCGACATGGGACTACCTAGCAGACATTCAATGAGCCCGTTCTGACAGTGAGCGAATTTACTGACCTGAAGGTCCGTGTTTCGAACCCGATTTATTCACCTCGACTTGTGCTGTCTAGGCTTGAGCAACCTGGCAGTATGCCACTCACGTGCATCCTTCGGGCACCTGAAGGATGTTACAGATGAACGGTTATTTTTTATTCTCTTGAGAGGTTCGTCTGATTTTTGGGTCCACTACCTTTTCAATGATTTAGCGAGATGTGGGCGTTTTGCATGGACTTGATGATCGCGATGAAAGGCGGCGGTGGATGAGTACCTGATTGCAGTCCACGCTGCCATTCTAGAAGGAGCGGAAGGCGACCCCCACCACCAGTACCTGTTGACGCGGTGGCCTGTTTGATTTCGGAGCTGGTTCACTGGTGGTCACCGCATAGTCAAATGATTTTCGCTATTCAGGAACTTGGTACTGCAAAAGAAGTCTTCGATTAGCACACGTGCATGTGTTCTCCTCTGTTCCTTTTTCTCATGTCCGATTCAAAGTGACCACCAAAGTGAGCCTCGGGACCGCCGAATCTGTCCATTTGTCCACCTGGAGGTGGGCTTTTAGTCCGTAATTAGAGAGTACCTAGAGCGTCAGCAGGCACCACGTCGAGCGATTTCCGCTGCTCCGGGATCAGTCTATTATTGGCACCCTTCTGAAGCAGACCAAACATTCGGCAAATAAGACTCTCTAACTGATAACGCATCTGCTCCGTCTAGAACATAATCAGTCAGATCGACGAAACTGGGCTCTCGGTTCTTCCTGAGGATTTCCGAAGCCCGGTCGAACCACTGTGACTGGATAGCAGTCGGAAAGCGGCCAATAATGGCGCCTATGGTTGTTCTAGTATTAAGCTCTGATGAGTAGTTCAGTTGCGAGAGTACCAACCAACAAGCCTTCATTGTGTCGGCCGGCCTGAGTAGTGAGCTGCCGTCGTTCGGTTTGATGGGCGGTCCGGTTGTGACTGCCGCAATATACTGTCTTGCGATCGTCGAGGGGTTGCCGAACCTGCGGGCCAATATCTTCCAGACTTCGGTGTAGCCGTGTTCCGGCTCAAGTATTGTACAGTGATCGATCGCTTTTCGTGCTTCACCTACACATGCATCGATCAAGAAGCCTGGGCGATTTGCGGGATGCGTAACTTATTGGGCAACCCCACTGGTGAAACCCCTCAGAAACCTCCAGTTATTCAAGCGGTTACCGCCACTCACGTGCATCCTTCGGGCACCTGAAGGATGTTACAGATGAACGGTTATTTTTTATTCTCTTGAGAGGTTCGTCTGATTTTTGGGTCCACTACCTTTTCAATGATTTAGCGAGATGTGGGCGTTTTGCATGGACTTGATGATCGCGATGAAAGGCGGCGGTGGATGAGTACCTGATTGCAGTCCACGCTGCCATTCTAGAAGGAGCGGAAGGCGACCCCCACCACCAGTACCTGTTGACGCGGTGGCCTGTTTGATTTCGGAGCTGGTTCACTGGTGGTCACCGCATAGTCAAATGATTTTCGCTATTCAGGAACTTGGTACTGCAAAAGAAGTCTTCGATTAGCACACGTGCATGTGTTCTCCTCTGTTCCTTTTTCTCATGTCCGATTCAAAGTGACCACCAAAGTGAGCCTCAGGACCGCCGAATCTGTCCATTTGTCCACCTGGAGGTGGGCTTTTAGTCCGTAATTAGAGAATACCTAGAGCGTCAGCAGGCACCACGTTTCCGCTGCTCCGGGATAAATCTATTATTGGCACCTTTCTGAGACCCACCCTCTCGATTGTCCTTGCATCTCATATCCACCCCGATATGACCACCAATTTGGATCTCAGTGGCACTTAACCCACCTATCTGAGCGTTCATATCACCAGCAAACCACAACGAGCTTTTAGCCCATTGTAAAGGAGTATGGAAACTGTCTTTGGCAGACTCAGAGCTACGGTCAGACATAAGAAACATGGTTCGATGAACCTCACTTTATCGAGACTATTTCATAGACGCTGCTAAACGAACCGCGCATAAGTGACTGTCAGTGAATGTCCACTCACCTACACACAATCCCGCTAGATTACTCAACATAATACCCACCACGGCATATCCAGCTGCAGCAGCCTTCATATCACCAGAATTGTGCAAGTGAAACCTGGAACAGAACGAAGGAGCAGTCAGTCCAACTACGCTACGAGCGTACGAGAAAGATCCACCTGTGTTTAGGTTGCTTCAGTTTTCGCTGTAAAATTTCTTCGAGTTGCTCCACCGAACCCGGCTTCGTGGATTTGGGTTTTCGCCAGCTGTTGCGGTTCGCCACCGTGGTTTTTTGTTTCGTCCACTATGGTATATCAAAGGAGTCAGCAACTTCCAACAGCCTTCGAAAGAAATACAGGTTTAACCAGTGGTGCTAGTCAAATTAGATTGAACAGATGTTTGAAAGACTGGGGGCTAAAATGAACTCAGGTCCCCTAAAACTGCATTAGCATTTGGTTCATGGAGACGGGTTTCCATCCGCACCTATCCCGCGTTAATATCGAGTATTAGCTAGGGTTATAGAGCGTGAGATTTGGGCTTATGGAATTGTAAGTCCATGTATTTGTGCGGGTAGAATACTTTCAAGTTACCCAGATCGAGGAGGTCGACTGACTTCTTGGGCTTCGCTGAGATCCTTTGCTTGAGTATAGCAGAAGGACGAAACGCGAGGTTTGTAATTCACGTCAGTTCGTAAGTCCTTTAGATGAAAGAATGCCCGGAGCACCCAACAACCCATGTATCTGCTGGTGAACAATATAGTATCTCTGAATCGGGAGCAAGGAGTGCTTCTTTATCTTGGAGGTTTGGCTGTTTCGCCTGGATACAATCCGGATTCTCAATCCAACTTAAGCATCGAATACCCGCTTTCGTCTCTTACCTTGACGGAAACGATTGCCAGAAGTTACCTAGGACTGTCGGTAGGGGTTTCGGTAGCTGGTCATTATCTGAGAAGAATGCAGTACACACATACCAGACCGATCACCTGCTACACACTCGTAATTATATTGAAGCACCCGCGGGCATCTAACAGATGTTTACTGTTGTCAGATGGCTCAGTGGTTAGAGCTCGAATTCACTAACCGGAAGGTCCGTGGTTGGAACCCGACCTGTTCATCTCGACTTCTGCTATCTTGGCTTGAGCAGCCTGGCACTATGCCGGCCTTTGTGCTTCATTCTGGTGGCATGACAACCAGGCACCGAAAGGATGTTGCGGCCGAACGATTATCTTTTCTTATTGTCCTCACATCTGCCAACCATGTGTGAGTCCCAACTGAACCCTGATACATCACTCACACTGCCACTGTTTTCAGAAACCTGAAAACGACCGGACTGTTTTGCGTACTCATTCAGGGAAGCCTCAGACCCGGTCAAATGCACATGGTTGTTCCCATCGAAATCACTGACTACACCGGTGTAAAAACTTATCTTCAATTCCTTTCAACCGTTCGGTTTGTGTGAAATTACCAGATAATTAGGTGAACTGACGTTTAATACGCGGACGTTGGAACTGTGTTTAGACCTTAGGTTGAGTCAGAAATAATGATGCTATACTGAAACAATATGGCGATGGAAGAATAAAATGCTGCCTTAGAAGTACTGTTCCACTCCAGCCCTACATTTCCACGTGTATCTTGTAACATTGTTATTGTACCTACTTTTCATGCACATCTGATAGACCGCGGTTACAAGTCAAAACAGATAATGGCGTTTTGGGGTGTGCGCGAATTTAGGAACCTGAATGACGTGGATGCAGTATGTTATGGAGACCCACTGTTTCGCATAGTTACTGTCACCCAATAAACCATGGAGTAAAATGACAGAAAAATCGTTCAGCTATAGCACCCTTTCGGTCCCTGGCTGCCATGTTGCTCAAGCCTAGACAGGACAAGTCGAGATGCAGATATCGGGTCCGAACCACGGACCTCCCGGTCAGTAAGTTCGCGCTCTAACCACTGAGCTATCCCGCCCTCAGAATTGCTAAGTCGTTGATAGATATTACTGGTTCCAGTACAATACCTTTGACTCTGGTTGTATGGATCAAACATAGTATCTTTTATCAGTTTCAGGTTTTTTTCACTCAAAACGAACCCTTTCTTTAGGCACTCTTGCCCAAAGAACTGATACCAATATTGTGGCTCAGCGAGGGTGACTTTCATTCCAATGGCGGCTCCCAACCTGTTGGCGGACCCCACAAAACCAACGACTTTCAGTGCCCTGTTCAAACATATCTCTCCACCAACTGCCGTTGACCATTGTCTCTATTGCCACCTGACTAATCCGAGAACGAGGAATCTCGTAGTCACAAGAGGTTGCTTTATCGATATATACACCCTGAAGGAGAAGTGAGTTACCCTCACCCCGTCATCACCTCATTCTAGTGATTCTGGAAAAATGCACCTGAACTGGATTGCAACTTCGTGTGTATATGAGGATATTGTGGACATCGTCTCGGTTCATTTTGTTGGTGACAGGTTGGATTCACTCTTGCTTAGCTTTACCGAAGCTAAAGTAGTTTAGTTATGTTGAGTATGAATAACTTTTTCTTGGCAGGTTGCTGTGATGGGGTTTGATCCAGTCCAGTATGAATTGAAAACACTATCTTTACACAACTACGAGTTCGAAAACCTAAAGGTAAGTTTTCGTAAATACTGTTAGCTTTCGTCATGGAGATAAGGATTAGTCTGCCAGTGAGTAGGTCTCATTCCAATCAACTCAAAATTAAAATGCGCAAATTTTAATCGAAACCAACTATTGGATCCCTAGAACAAACACACCAGCTGCTCATTGCTGGTAAACCGTATGTGGTCCTGTGGTCAACAGCCTGGAACCATTGACCGTCTACGCCCACCTAGCGTGTTTAAATGGGATCGAAAGGCCTCATAAGGATGGGTTTTTGAGTCCCACAACACTTTGTCAACAAACCCCATGTTATTAGTTTTTCGTATTAGAACGCTCCTCATGTCTTACCAAAAGCCGGGTAATAAGGCAGCCCGATTTAGCTCTGATGATGTAGGCGTGTGGACTGAAAGGGCCATGGTTTGACTTCCTCACTGGTTTCATTATCACTTGTTCATGGACGCAAATTACTTGTCGGCTTATTAGCCCTTGGTTCCTCACAGGATATATAACACGTTGCTACACATATGCAAGCAACAATCGACAATGCTTATCTATCCATTGGGTTGCTCATTCAGATTTCTGAAATCCCATGACAACTACACACTGACAAATTATCTTGAGAATACGCAATTAAGCACGTCGCTGCTAACTTGTTTCCAGATATCCATAATTTATGAACTTCCCTGTTTTCTATATGAGCGTTAAATCGATCGATGCATTTGTGGTAAGCCACTTGGGTTACGTTGGTGCTGCTTAGCTCATCACCAACTCCACTTACCCCATCTGTTTCACATTTGGACTTTTGTACTTGCCGGTAGCGTGGGGGACATGTGAGTTTTCGGCTTGAATTTCGTCCTGTAAATGAAGCCATGCACTATTCCTTCCGTACTGGAAGCAATCAGCGTGAACATCACGAAATTCTGGGACATTTCGATTGAGATTTCGTCCAGTAAGTAAAACCACTCTAAGCTGAAAAGCCGATAGGCTTTGTACAGCTGAATCACCCATGTTGAGGATCCAGGACAGTGCGCATCTCACGAATTCTTCTGAACCGCAAGCACTGCGATATATTTGGTCCCTCCTCTAGTCAGTTGACCTTGTAAACCACCGGTCATTTGCTTTTCTTTTCAGTTTGCTTGTTTGGGTTATCTATATACACACTTGCTGCACAGTTAAGCTCTGTCGAAGCATATCTTTTTTAAAAATCGGTTTTCCATTTCTAAAAGCAACAATGACTTTAGCCTCAACACCGGCAAATAGTTTAGTGACCATTGGTCTAAACCTGTCATACAGTTTCCATCGACAGTTTAAACTGACCCTGGACTGGATGAGGTCGAATCTTGCTTTGATGACCCACTCATTGATTAATGAGAACTTCTCTAGTTGAGCTCAACGTAGTTCGATGTTTAGGGTGCGTAGTTACTGGTCAGAAGTTGGTGGTTCAATCCCAACCCGGGGCATCTCGACTTCTCCTCTCTTGACTTGGGCAAGCTGGCAGTATCCCAACCCTCGTGTGTCTTTCGGTTAGCACGACAGCTATGTACCGAAAGGTTCTTATAGCTGTATGACTATTTGCTATTTTATTTACCTCTCATGTGGGCGAGATGGCTCAAGTGGTTAGAGCGCGAATTTACTAACCGGAAGGTTCGTGGTTTGAACCCGACCTCTGCCTCTGGACTTCCCTGTCCACTCTTGGGCAACCTGGTAGTATCCCAGCCCTCGTGCTTCCTTCGGGTAGCATAGCAGCTAGGCACGATTACTTGTCTTGTTGGAAATCCAAGCAAACTTGTGGTTGTCGCGCATAAAGCCACCATGTGGATGAGACTTAGGTTTATTTGATTATAGCTTAGAATACATCCACTTTATTGAGTCCCGTATCCTTTTGTTCTATCCACATTTTCTAGTCAGGCCGCACGCATTTTTCTCATCTTCCCATCCTCCGTGTGGATCCACTTCAACGGTGTGCGGTCGTGCTAGTCTACGACCGTCACCTTGCTGTACTGCCTTTCAGACGTTCCGAGGCACTGGCAGCGGGCGACAAATATTTGGCCAAGCCCGTTACGAATAACACAACACGCGGCGCTGGCAGTTTGTCCTGGGAGAGGCGTGCAACTGCCCCGCTTCTCGCCACATTTACCACTTGTCTGAGTTCATCCACAGGAGAAAAGATAAACAATGTGCTAGACATGCAATTTCTGAATGGGTTTTATGAACCCACTCTGTTGGTCTTGTACGAACCAATTGGAACATGGGCGGGGTGAGTCTTCCCACACAGATTTGATCTCATTGTCCCACTTAGCAGAGTTTCAGCTAGGCGGGACACATGCTGTATCGTTGCACTTTCGTTCAATCTCCAAAAGCGGACGAATCCGGTGATTTGGTTCCAAGAATCCTTGCCATATGACTGTACTTACGTTCACTCTGTCCCCGAACCCATTGGTAAGTATGTTTATTGGTTGGATTGGTAGTAACAAAATCCAGTAGTCTGCTAGTCGTGGTTGGGTAAAAAGACCACTTAAAATTCCAGTGATAGTCCAGGAACAGACTATAACCAAGGTATGTCACTCGCCATGAACCCTAATGATCTTCTGTTCTGAAGACAGACATCATTCCGTTCGCAAACACGAAGTATCTGTTGGAAAAATGAGAAAAAGCCTGTCCTTTTTGGGATTTTCGTAATATTTATCTCTGTTAAAAGGCGCATAACGACAAGGCTACTCGGAGCATCAGCCAACGACATTTTGGGTTAGAAGATCCTACTGGTTATGCCAACCAAAACGAGTTACGCTCGTTTTTTCTCTTGAGGTTTTTCCTTCTACCCTTAACACCCACCAGATAATCCCCTGTCCGCAGAAGCCTTATCTCACTCTTAATCAAATTCAAATTTGAATTTTTTCATAGATCTAAGTAATGAACAAGATGGAGAACTTGAGTACTACTTTGTTGCGCACCGACCAGTGCGTTTTAAGAAGACAGTATTGATACATTTTTATTATCAGTTAGCTCTTTTTTCAATGGAGCACCGTGTGTTTCAGGTGGTGTACTTATATTGGCAACAAATTCCATCATCTATATGAAACAAACCCTCCCATCTTGTGGACTGCCGCTGAACTGCTATGCCCAAGTGACGACGAACTTTCCAATGCGTAAGTTCCGTTCTGGTTTTCAACCCTCGTCTCTTCTCTTTTGAATATTCCTGTGTAGTTTTCACAACCACTCAAATGAACTGATTTTACCCACCGAAATGCTTTCATTGCTGTATCTCTTCAGGTCAAGATGTTCCTCAATGCGGACCACTAACTCTTGATGGCTGCCGGATCGTCACAATGACTGATTCCCAATTCCTCATCGTCACTCGTACAGGCAAAATGTGTTTGCTTTCCTTATGGGTTGAACACACCACACAGACCGTCAGCAGTTTGTTGCTCCATGAAATCGGGTGTTCGGTTCCACCTTATAGTGTAAGTATATGCTTACGAAATTTTCGAGTAACAACACTCTCTTCAATGAAACATTCATTGTATATCGTGTGTGCAGTACAAGACTGTTGTGGATGGAGCGAAAACCATTGAGACAATGTCAAAAATAAGTACATGAGCTGTGAATTTTTCATAACTATTATGGAGGGTCGATAGCCGGTCAACGGCTTCAGTGTTTCCCACATGGTTCGCGAGGGTGCCATAAGGGCAGGTGTTGGTGTGGCACCTATTTTTCAACTAGGCTGTACACAGTCACCCGTATGTGAATTGGTGACAACTATTCATGCCTGGAGCTGATCTGAATATGTGGAAACAGATTTAATCGCGAGCTGATTATTTGGTTCACGCTCCCGTCTATCTTCGTCAGCACGCTTCAGTCAGCTATACTGCCCCGGGTACAGTACTGCAGTGCTGCCTTATAGATCAGTTACATATACATTCCAACTAAGAAATTCACGGAGCCACTTGTTTACAGAGTCCACTTTTTCGGAGGGTACAAAATGCTGCTTAGTTGTTTTGGCGTGCTGAATATCAATAGGAATCGGTCCAAATCACAACAATAGCTTCTTGCATAGATCACGTAAAGGCCTCGCAGGGAATCCGTCTCATGATCTACATATTAGAAGCATTCTTACGCCTGCATCTGCACATTCAGGCTTTTGGATAAAGCCGAGGTTGAGTTCCCACGTGGAAACAATATCTTGAAAGTCAGTGCTACGTGCAAGTTCCTCAATGTCATCCACCCATAGATTCAGTTCCTCCTCCAGCAGTCAGCATTTTATACTGAACACCACTGCAATCACTGGCTGATAGCCATGAATTTGGGTGTAAACCCGATGGAAAGTGAAGAGCAGAAAGGGACGTCTGGAACGCAGTTCGTGAAAGTGGCTCCTTCTGGGTCTTTCAGTTCGCTGTGATCTGCTATCACAGTCTACTTTCCTGATAGAGAAAGCATCTAGTTATTCGGTCACTTTCATAACTTGGGATAGGTGCCGAGAAAAACAAAAAAATGCTAAACCGAGTCTGTTTTATAGAACCCACAACAAACCCGAAAGCTTTAGAGGGACCTATCTGTTGATCTTTGGGCCATGGTGGAGAGCGTTACTCAGCTTTTCGGAATTACTGCGTGCCTTTTCGGAGTTTGAATTCCCATAGGCAGCATCTGTCCATTTATGTTCGTCAATCGCACCGACACGTTGGCGTTGGCCACTCCAGAGGCACCAGTGCCTGGAGCGACACAGGCGACTTCAGTTGCTGTCTCACCCGAAATTTCCGGTCACGTATTTCAATGGACGTAATCAAATCGCGACGGCAAACTGACCAGTATCAGAAAACACTGATATTGGAAAACATACTAAGTGACTCAGTTCCATTTGTTTTCACAATTAGTCATCAACTCTCCAAGCTTCTCCTAGAGTGTTGCTCTCAGGCGTCGGTCGTCGAGCTGTTGTCATGCAGTCGAACAGGTGGAGCCGGACACTCTAAGAGTGATACTTTTCACGGAGTTGAACGTACGTCAACAAGGTGGTACGTGTGGTCGACAGAGTTAAACAATCAAAGACAAGGTGAACTTTCTTCTTTGTCCACGAAAGGATCACCTCGGGTACTCAGGCCCCAAAATCCTGTGCATCAATAAATTGTCCGATGGTGAACCGTTCTTAAGTCTGCCTTGTAAATACCTCCGCTCAGCTCCCACAATTCTTGTAATTGCGCATTAAGTACACCGATGTTCGGTGCACTTGTATCATAAAATGATAAGCGGTTACGGAACAGTCACGGATTGAGCGAACTAAGGTTGCCGGCTCTTGTTATCCTCGTTTTACATTAAAGAAACAGTGTGTACTTCATAAATATGCGGCCGTTCATTGATCAGGTTTGTGTAGAATCCCCTCTTCTATTTCAGCGGAGACAAATTTTGGAATTTTGAAAAACGGTTTCTGTGAAGAAGCGATATTTTCATCCCAAACCACCTCTGTCACTTGTTTCACTGGGCCTTCCCACAAATCCGTCTCATCAGGAGAACTAAAACGTATCCCAAAGTCGGATTTGTGTTTTGACAATGTTCTAATTTCCGTACTCATGCAAAATTCAATTGTTTGCCATGTTCGCACATGTATGGCGACATTGTGTTTCTGTAGGGCCAAAGGGCTTATGAATTCATGTTGAATGAGCAACATGACGATACATGTTTCTTCGTATTCCGAAATGTAAATTCGGCGTGTGGTATCTCCTAAACCTCCTAAGTAGCTATGGAGGGGGGGCATCTGGGCGATTTTGTTTGACAATTTGCTTTTCGTCCATATTCACTGATGTCATTATTTGATGTGTATCATCATGCAAGCACTAAGAGGAAAGTTGTATGAGTGAGATAGCCATAACATGGCTTATACTTTCCCCAAAACTACTCATTCAAAGTATCCGTGCACTCACACTCATCATGTACGTAGCAGTTTACCTTTGCTATCAGATGCAAATCATGTGGACCGGGTGGTCGGGTTTAATTCTTATCAAGAATTCATTGAATGAACATCCATCAATAATACCATTGTACAAAAAGCCATACATTCATGTAGTAGCGTCCCTATGATGTGCTGGAGCTCTTATCACAACATGAATACAAGCATAATCAAAAGTTTGTTCCCCAATTTCGGCTTCATGGTCAAAACAGTAACAAAATAATTACGAAGACCATCTGTTGCTTTCAGGGGCTATAGTCTCATCAAACTGTTACATTGGCGAATTCTTGTAGAACTTTCACCATGTGCATTGTTTTGCACTTTTGCTACTTATTATTATTATTTATTATTCTTATTTATTATTATTTATTATTATTATTAATTATTATTATTATTAAATTGTTCCCACAACATACCATTCAGCTAACGGATGTCCACTACCAAGGGGTGTAACAGCCTTCTGGCCGTCCCTTAGTAACTTACTCCATCTTAACTACTCGGGTGATATAAGTAGTGAAAATATATCGTTCGAGATCAGAGCACAATGGTTGAGATTAATGCTTTCGATAAGATCTCACCAGACTTTTATGGATAGTCTACAATGATGAGCGGATAAAACTCGGAATTAGCTGGCTCTCAAATGGGCGATTCAGTTTCTCCTAGAGGGGCATCACTGGTTGGCCTAGGTAGAGTTAGTGCTTTCACGTGCGTTTTTGTTGACAGAGTGGTGGTTGATGCAAACTGACTGCAATGGTCTCTGCTGTTTCGAGCACATTTGAACGATTAGGCGGTACTTGATAGATCATGCTGAGCGATTGATTTGGGTTGGATTGGTGGTTCAAATCGATCGGGTGATTTGTAACTTCACGGACTGCATTTAGCTTCTCCAGTTCGAATGCAGGACGGTAAATGCTCTGTTATTCGCTGCAGTTAGCCCCAATTTGTGCGAACCATACAGTGAGCAAAGGAACACAGTAATGCTGAAGAGCCGTGGACTAGCAATCCATGTTCCAGGTTCGCGTTGAGCAGTGGACCATAATTTTGCTGTGTCGGGTGTTTTTCAGATGGTTGTTAGGTGACGCGATGTGGTTTCAAAAGCCCTGTTTTCTGTAGTTGGCAACTGTATGTAAACATCTCCCTTGGAGACTGAAATGCCTTGTCTGAATTGTTCTACCTGGACGTTCGAAACGTCTCGTTAATTGGAAGGCCAGAGGTGACGCAACAGTGAGGGGAATACAGAAGCGAGATCTCATGTGCTGACTACGGGAATTCCCGTAAATACGTTGACGTGAGTTTTACTCTGTGTATGTTGGAAGTTATATCGATATCAACGAAATCTGAAAACAAGCGTTTACTTGCGATGTCTCGTTTCTAATTTATTCACCGAACAGGTTGCCCTGCTGGATAAAGGATACGTTTTTGTTGGTTCTCGGTTGTGCGATTCCGTCCTTCTGCATCTCACCGCGTCCACTATGTTCGTGAATACACTTGGGCGCATTGTGGATTTGGATGAAACCACAACAGCGGACAACCGCACGACAGATATTCCCATGATTGAGCGAGATACAGAGGTGAGCACTCTGACTTTTCATCTGGGGGGTTTTTCTCACAAGTACTGCTCTGTCACATGTGCTTTTGTTCTGTTTTCATAGAGTATACCTGTGGATAAAAATAATCCAGCTGAGAAAGTAGCTGAAAACGCATCCTCTGAAACGCCAACAAAACCCTCCGGATCAATCGTACATGGACCTTACGTTTTTGATGAGGTGGATGTTGAACTGTACGGTGACACCATCTTGAACCCGCCATCAGATGTTCGTGAGCTGAATACCTATAAGTTTGAGGTAGGTCACTTAATCATGCGATCACTTTTCCTCCATTGTAAGCTCATAAGCGTGTATAGGTTTCATACAATAATGTGTGACGGTCAACATAGGTATGCACATAGTACGAGCGAATTTGTGTACATGTCAGTCATTGGTCATCCTGATCTCACACCGTCCTCGGCTCCAGCGGAAACTGTGTCAGTGTTCTATGTCGAGGCGTTATTTGGTGAAGAATACGGTGATAGAATATTTGAAAACGAAAAACGGATTGCTGTTGATGTGAGAAGATTCGGTCATTTTAGATGTAGGTTTCATCTTGTCAGTGAAGCCAATCTACGTTGAAAAGCCGGGATGCACTGTACCGCTGTTTCATTCTTGTGGGTAATCATCAACAGTGCGCACCACACGAAACGGTGAGATTTTCGAACCAGAGACTTCCTAATCAGTGGTGAACACTTAACCGTTTGGTCACAGGTTACCGATCGGCACTGTGACTAGTTCTCACTACTCAGCCATAGCACTACCCTTACTTCAGTCACGGAGGCATGGATTAAGTTCACTGACAAGACGAAATCTGTATCGAAAAAGGATTGTCCCTCTTACACTGTACACTACTCATAGGCTTTTGTTCCTGTTTATCGCTGGTTAGCTCCTGTCCTTTTTGTTCAGATGAATTTACGTTTCAGGCCAACTGATTCCATTTCTTGACATATGAGAAACTTTTCTTGGTAGGACCATTCATTCCAAAGGGCTAGGGGTAATAAGTGCGAGATGACTATCCTGGCTGTGTAATCCAAAGTTTAATTTATTCGTAAAGGCCATGGTCTGACGATGCTTGATCAGTTGGACATACTGATTCTGTGTACAAATTCACCATTTGCTTTTCACTTGCTTTTCTTTTTCCAGGTCGCTGATCGCTTAGTTAACTTTGGTCCGATGGGCCTGTTGACCTCAGGGGAGGTGCCTTGTCTGGCTCCAGGCAACACAGATCCCACTGATGAGGCCCTGATTGCTGCCCAGGCAGAAATGCATCATGTTGAGTTGCTTGCCTGTATACCTCGTTCATTTGAAGACGTCAAGGATTTTACCAAGGATTTGCGTGCCGGAGGTGTCATGCTTTTACACACAAGCGTTAGACCTCGGGGCTTGACTGCATTTGAGTTGCCAGAATACATGAGCCTCTGGTCACTCTATGGTCCACCAATTATGTCTCCTGTCCCACAGAAACCAATCAAAGTCGAAGAAGTCGCAGAGGACGAAAGACATTCTAAGTCGGATTCAGTTTTGGAATCTACCGCGCAAACGACGGAGGATCCCGTAGAAGAGAATTCCTTAGCTTCTAACAACGAGGCCATTTCAAACTCTCTCACTGTAACTCAATCGGCTCCTGAAGAACCTTCAATAACAACGGAGTTGACCAAAGGTACCAGTTCAATCCATGTCACGACGTTGCATTCATTCTTCTCGTTGTTTTCATCCGGATCTCTCCTGTGTAAATCATTCCGAGCCTTTCCAATGGTATTGAGTTCACGTGGTTCAAAATGATTTTCCTTCCTAGGAAAGACCCAAAGCACAGCGATATAAGCCATGTATCTTAAAGGTTTTAATGTTTCCGCAATTTCGACTTAGAGACCTAGAATCCCTACCTGTTAGACTCTTGACACCTACGTGCTTATCGCCACCAGGATTAAGGGAACTTTCTTACCTTCATGTTCCGTTCATTCTGCTCCCTTATTTCTTTCAGTGCCGCATTCATGACTAGCTTATTTTCATCCTTTTTCAATGACTTGCAGATGTTGCCACTTCAGAAGTTGCGGATATTTGCAACCAGGCAGTGAACGACTCTCATGAACCAGTGAAAGTGGAGTTCGAGGGACCCAGTAGGTCATCCAAAGGCACCAGTTCGACACCGTCAATTAAAAGGTGTCAGGGTCAAACGCACAGCTACCTTTTACTGACCAGAGAGGATTCGACAATGGTACGTAACTTGCAGTGTGGTAGCTTTGGTTTGAGGAAGCTGGGATTCACGAAGTCTAATACGTAACTTTGTAGACATTATATTCACTCTGACTGCGTAGATCGAGTGTATTCCTCTTAATCAATTTACTGGCGAGTTGGCATCCTGACCTTTTCATTGTCGTGACACTTGTTTTCTTAGGGGGTTTGAGCTCAGGATTTGTTGTTTTATGCATTTCCCGCCACTTAGTTTTGCCATGATGAAAACAGATGAAAATGGCGCAATATTAGTGTGACGAATACAGTGGCTGCAGGGGTTTTCTCCGGAGGAAGTCATTTCAAGACAGACCTCTTTTGCGTGTTCTCCTAAGCCTCTTAATGATTATGATCGTTGTGGAAGAAGCCACTGGTAGATGGTCCATTCAGTCGATCTCTTTAGAAGCAAAGCGATTCCAGGCGCAGTTACCGCGTGGCTAGTTTCGAATGACTTGTCGGCCACACTACCCGCAGATATCGTAACCCAACTTTTAGTTTATCTTCGAATATTTGTCATCGTCAAGTTAGAGTGCACACCTCTTTTCGTTTCCATCAGATCCTTGAAGTGAGCCACGAAATAGTGGAGCTGGAAGTGAGTGGGTTCAACACAACTGAAATGACAGTCACTGCGGTGAATCTCGGAGGAGTGTACATCGAGACCATGCAGAAGGACTCGGTTGCGCATTCCCCATCTTTGGACCAGGGTGTAGAACGTAGCACGACTGAGACAAACAACCTGGAGCCAATGGAGCTGGCAGATAAAAGACTTCGTGTCGGTCATGATTATCCTTATATTCTTCAGGTAGGTGGCGTCTTGTTTTTGCATTTTTTCTCTTTCAAATACGTACTACCAAGATGGTCTTACAATCGACCTGGAAACGTCAAATTGACGACGGACGTAAACGTTTGCCTGCTATCGATGAGAGGGGATGTTCTATGAGTTAGATATCCATCTGTGGCTGATCGAGAAGGGCCGAGTGGGCAACACTGATATGACGCAGAGTTAAAGTACTCATTGTGTGCTCGCCCACATTTCGATTACCCCAATCTAAGTGATCTTTTACAGAAGACTGTTTCCTATCCTTCGGTCTGTCTAAACTAGCATCATTCACTGGGACCAATTACACTCGTACTGATGCCTACACGTGTACCATGTCAGCTCCCAACTTGTATGTCACAGAAAACACGTTCGATCGTTTTGGACGCATTTCATCGTTTATTCCAGGTCTCTCCTACTTCTCTGCGCCTACTCGACGGCCCCCAACTAATAGAATACGTGCAAGTGACATTGGAGTGGCGCATTCATCTCGCCAGTTCTGCTGATCCCTATGTTTTATTGTGCACTGAAGATGATGAACTCGTGCTTATACGACTTCGTCCTCCGGATGCAGTAGACGCTGCTCTTCCAGCTTCTAGGATGTCCTACAAGAAGCCGTCATTTTTGGATCTTCGGGCTGCAATGGAGGAGTCCGAGGTCGAACACCATGCAAAGAGAAATCGTGATCCCAGCGTCCCATTCACAAGCACAACGCGTTTGGAAGTCTTTCGTCCCAAGGTTGGGCAGGTGAGTTTGATAAGGGTTCGTGTATTGTATGACAGACCTTACTTCTCATTACTTCGTATTCGGCGTGAACATCCATGTTTACTTCATCTTACACTGCATCGGGGGCGAGATGGCTCAAGTGGTTAGAGCGCGAAGTTACTGACCGGAAGGTCCGCGGTTCGAACCCGACCTCTACCTCTCGACTTCCCTGTCCACTCTTGGGCAACCTGGCAGTATCCCAGCCCTCGTGCTTCCTTCGGGCAGCATTGCAGCTAGGCACCGGAAGGTGTTACAGCTGAGACAGAGACACTGCATCCGGCGTGTGTTAATGCAAATATCTGTTGCTAACACGTCGTTGAAGTTGGCTCGGGGTTCCCTTACTCGGTCCACTTGTACGAACTGTCTTTACGTGAGTCGCAATGCTGTTGGGACGCTTGTGCTTCAGATAGCGTTGTTTGACTGGCATCCAAAACGTTCTGTGGTCGGTTCATCCATGTCCATCCTGTAGGCGAGCTTCTTTCTACTACTAAATTTTTATTATGATCCGCTTAAATTTAGAACTCACAGCCCTTCTGTGAAGAATGCTGGTTGGTTGTGATAAAGGACCTGTCCAACCGGATTGCAGATTCGATTTGTCCTGCCCCCATTGGGCAACTTTCAATTTCTTCGTGAGAACTGACCACTTATCGGAACTGAAGACCTAATTTGGACGCAGGACCATACTTACTCCCAATTTACCAGCCGTTTAAGCAGATCGGGGGCCCGAAACCATCTTTCAGGGACGAAAAGTTTTGCTTAAATAGGGTTTTCGGGATCTGGCCACACATTTATCATAAGAGTCCAATTAAATTTCAAATCTATGGTTTGTAAACCGTCAAGTCCTGGGTGAGAATCGATGACTATTCAGGCGAAATAGTGATCATCCGGTTGGCTGAGTAGGTTACTGGCCAGAACCAAATTGCGACGAACAACTTCCAATTTAGGAAGAATCTCTGTCGGGAAAATCGCCATAGAACAGAACTCTTTACTTCGGTCCCGTTTTTTCTATTGGATGACCGTAAATCAGAATTACCAAAAGTAATTTCCCAAATGGACCGAATGTGCATTTGAGCTTCGTGGTTCATGAATACAAAATACCATAGAATTGAACGAGAGCTTGTTCGAAATAAATTACTACGCCGTCACCTGAGGAACCAGTCAACGTTTGACCACGTGATTGTAGAATGAGTGAAGCTATATCCTGCCTAGCTGCGACCCATTCACATCGCTGATCAACTGCTCGTGGTCGAACGGTTGTGTTCAAACTAATTACCCGGGCGGTCGCGGGTCCGAAACGCCTTGGAATTTCACTGATGATCCTCAGTGAGGATGGAACAGCTGTGCAGTGCTTTTCGGCTCTTCGACTTGCATTGGCTTCATTTACTTGACAACGTATCAATCGCAACTTTCCGAGTCTCTTCACATTGCGAACAATCTGTTTGTATCAATGTCCACGTACCCTACCAATAGACCAGTCATTCCTAGTTATGCTGTTCTAGTCATTGCGCAACAATCTTACTGTTTACTTGACAATACCAAGAGCTCAGACTCACAATGTATGACTAAACTCTTCAGATCTACCGTTTTCAATGACCACCACAGGTTGTCACAGTTTATGTCTGCTGATTAAAACATTTTGGTGCATACTCGTTTCAGGGTGTTTGCCTGAAGTGTGCATGTGACTTGCCACCTCAACTTTTCTTGGTCCAGACGCCATCCTAACCAACACGGTTCGCATTTCATTGGCATCCAGTTTGACTAACGCTTATATGATGTTCTTATCGTTTTGATTCACTTTTGGAGTTTGATATGAGTTACACGCAATCCAGAACTTCTCGAGTTGCACTAACATTCACGATATCCTCAGTGTTTGTCTGATCTAAAGCGTCTCCAAAAACCAGTACCCTTAGTATTGTTTGAGGTAGTTTTTATCCGAGATAGAAAAAGTTACAGTTTACTTTTCATTTCCATATACTTTCACTTTTCTAGCACTGAATTTTTTACTCCGTTTGGTAACATGTTTGGCGTTTTGGTTCGCGTGTATGACAGTACAACGTGTTCCAGACGGCTCTATACTACTCCCGATGAAACACACACCGATCTAGTCTCCCTCTGTCACAGATATCTTCTGAGGAATTAGATTCTTTGTGTTTCTTAAGCTGAAGGTAATTTCAAAAATCCACGAAATCTTCATGAGGAGGTAAATGGGAAATAACCAAGACAGTGATTTTGACTCGTTAATAGTAACCCTGTCCACCTAGTCGCATTTGGCTGCATGCAGCACTCCGAATACCGAACTATATTCATCACTCCAGCGGTAGACACACTGGCTCCATTCGATCGAATGAGATTCAAAGCCAAATGAATCAAAATATATGCCCCAATTTTTCTCTTAGAAAGATTGCCTATCCCCAACACCTCGACAGTATGCCAGCATCCACATCTTCTGACATTCGAACAAGAAAGGATCTTACAAGACGAAGCAGAGAAGTGACGCAAAATAGCACTTTTCATGTAGCTTTGGTCTAGATGGTCCCGAGTTTACGGCCGGTTATGGGTACAGGCGATAGAGACAGTTTCGCTAAAATGAGCACCAACCGAAACAAGGGCGATGTCTGACCAGTGTAGAACAATGAATGAGTCTGGGTTCGCTGTTCACAATACTTGGGCTTTCACATAACGTATTTTAGTGTCGACGCTGACGGGGCAACAAGTAACACGCACTTGAGTTCGAATAAGAAGTGAAAAAACGGGCGTCAGTGAGGCGGATAGAGCCAAGGAAGCCCTTATCCGTGATTCTTTCTTCATGTTAGCTTATGCCTGACACCTTTATAACCATTATTTTCAGGCTAAACTGATGAAAAAGCCTAGAGAAGTAAAATGCTTCGTCCAAAGTTGCGCACACGAACAATAATTTCTTTAAGAAGTTATATGATTAGGTGGTCGCATGGGCCATCTTGTGCTCAACAAAGAATGAAGGTCGAAGATGTTAATATCCTAGAGCCGACACCAGCAGAATTTAGTGTCAAGGGCAAGGGACACCGCATTGTTCTTTGCATCATCCCTGATATATGAGGCTTAAGAGGAACGCGCTTGGTTGGCTTCCAGTGAGACCAACTCACTACATAACGCTGCCAACACGCATACACAAGCGTCCGTTCTAACTACAGTATGCAAGTAGGAATCGAACCAGTTGAGAGTCTACGCAGTTTGGTTTCTCTTTCGGTTGACACTTGAAATTTCCCACCCGCTTCCCAAACTGGTTTGTTTCGATAACCAAACCCGACCAGTCCGTCGGAGGCCAGATCATCTTTTTTTTGGACAATTGGGTGGGCCACGTAAAATCAGGTGCCTCAAGTCACACTAGACAAAAGTTCGAATGCTTTCAAAGGTCATTGTCCTCTACTTCGGTATTTGCTGAAAAACTCCATCGAATAGGATCGCATATGAGCCTACTCAGCTAAATTCGGATGTTGAATTTTGACTGCCGGAGCAGAACAGGTGCCTCAAGTCACACTAGACAAAAGGTCGAATGCTTTCAAAGGTCATTGGCCTTTACTTCGGTATTTGATGAAAAAGTCCATCGAATAGGGTCGCATATGAACCTACTCAGCTAAATTCGGATGTTGCATTTTGACTCCGGGAGCAGAACACACGCACTGAGGTTTGCCATGAGTAGCGAGTGGACAGACAATCCTCGCATGAAGGTAGAAAAGATGACCACTTTGTTGGTTAAAATTTACGTGTCAACCATCGAGTTGACTCTTGAAGCTGGCAGACCCATGTGGAGGCCATCGCTGACAAATCATAACTGCTCGCAAGTAAGGTGAGGAGAAATGGCCTGCTGGTTGCTCCTGGATATAATCACCACAACCCCACCACCAGCTGTAAACAGACGGACAGGGGTATTAAATTTCAAGCGGTTATCAGAAGTTTGGATGAAGTTATTCGGTTTCAAGCACTCCTCAGTTTGTCATCCTCTCGCACTTCGATTCAAGCAGGAGGATGAATAACAACACCAAAAACTCGAAAACCAATCGGTCAGATGCAGCACCCTTCCGGTGCCTAACTGCCATGCCATCCGAAGGAAGCACGAGGGCTGGGATAATGTCAGGTTGCCCAAGCCTAGACAGGGGAAGTCCAGAGGCAGAGGTCGGGTTCGAACTATGGACTTCCAGCCAGTAGATTGGCACTCTAACCACCTAGCCATCTTGCCCCTTGGAAAACCAGTCGCGCTACTGTTAATCATATTTCATGGATTGCTTCCCATCATACAAGTTAAATTATCCGGGTGAGGTTCCTATGTTTTATTTCCGAGCGTGGCGCACAGAGGACAGACGCATGATGGCAAGCAAACCAGTTACAGAAAAAACAAAACATGATTCTACACTCGAACTGATCGACCCGCACTATTTCAACGCTGTCCAATAGCAACCAAGCGACGGGCATGAATGAGGAATGCTTTCCAGGTGGCTATCCTAGACAGAACAAAACGAGGAACAACGTGCTCACTGGGACAAGCGATGACACGTACACCGCAATGTTAAAAACAAGCTATTTAACTGCTGGATCAATGCATTGCTAACCTGTATTCACAGAGACAACGACTGTACGCCCACCTCGGTAGAAAAGGCATACTTGGTCCTTTTCTATTTGACCGAATATCGTGCCTAGCAGTGGCACTGTGGATCAGATGCGTACTGTGCTTTGTGATTTTTAAAGCACTCCCTCAAACATCAGTCCAATAATAAAGTAGTCACAGGAGCGAACCCGCTTGCAGAATAGCGATCGGAACAATCAGATATGTGGTTTAAGTAGGTCTATCTGCATTGTCCTGCAATGTTGAGGTATATCCCCAGAGAATTTTGAGTGTAACAATCGCTTTGGTGTAAGTGATCGCTCAGATGCGTCCGTCATCCTTTGCCCCTAATCGGTACGTCCAGAGGGCTGAATGTTTGAGCTTTAAGACCAACGATCGGCCC